GACATTGGTACAAGGAAAGGTTCTAGAACAGCTTGTATGCACTTACAAAGGAATTCTGTAACTACTAAGAGTTAACATGGATTTCTCAAAAATAAGTCATGCAAAACTAATCTTATCTATTGTTTGATAGAATTAAAATTTAGTAGATCAGGAGTGCTGTAAATGTAGTACATCTTGATTTCAGTAAGGCTTTTGACAAGATCCTCCATGATATTTTCATAGACAAATTGGTAAATTTGGGCTGGACAGTGCTGCTGTTGGGTAGATTTGAAATGGGCTGACACACTGAACCCAAAGGGTGCTCACCAATGGTTTCTCTTCATCCTGGAGAGCAGCAACTAGTTTTCTGTTCTAGGCCTCCTGTTATTCAACATATTTATAAATGACTTTGATAATGGAATGGAGGACATGTTTATCAAATTTGGAAATGACCCAAAGTTAGGAGGGGTATTCAAAACAAATGTAACAGATTAGAGAGCTGAGCTAAAACTAGCAAAATTAATGTCAACAGAAATCGATGTAAGGTGTTGCATTAAAGCAGGAAAAATGAAATGCACAAATAATGGGATGAGTGACACCTCGGTTGATAACAGTATGTGTGAAAAAAATGTAGAGGTATTAGTAGACCACAAGCTAAACATGAATCAACAGTGTGATACAGTAGCCAAAAATGCAAATGCAATTGTAGACTGCAACAACAGGAATATAGTGTCCAGACTCTGGGAGGTAATATTACCATTTTATTCTGCTCAGCTAGAATACTGTTTTCCAGTTCTGGGCATCACAGTTCAATAAGGCTATTGATAAGCTGGAATATGCCCAGAGGAGGACAATCAAAATGGTAACCAGTCTGGAAGCTAGGCCCTATGAGAGATAACTTGGTGAGCTGGGTAAGTTTAACTTGGAAAAGGGAAGATTGAGAGGGGATATGATAGCCATTTTTAAATATCTGAAGGGGTGCCATGTAAAAGATGGAGTAAAAGTGTTTTCTGCTGTTCCAGAGACTAAAATGATATTCCACTTAAACATTAGGAAGAATTTATTGACTTTAAGAACTGTTTGACAGTGAACTAGACTACATTGAAGGGTGGTATAGTTTCCTGGTTTGGAGGTCTTTAAATAGCAGTTGGATAGGCATCTCTCAGGAGTGCTTAAGTTGTGTATTCCTGCATGACAGGGGTTTGGATTAGATGGCCTTTGCAGGCCCTTCCAATTCTGTGATACTATATGCTGTTTTTCTATTCTTTTTGGTTCTAATTTAGGATGAACAGATCTAAAGTTATCCTTTTCCCTGCTTATGAATTTTTTAAAAAATAAATTTATTTCCTTCATGTGATGTGAAAGAAATATTGACCAACAGGAGCACAACTACAGTTTTGGACTGGATATGTTTGAAGTGTCAGTTGGAAAGGCACTGTGCTGCTAAAAAAAAAAGTTTCACTTCTATTTCAACACCACTTAACCTCTATATTGACTAGATGGATCAGTTCTGCTTTCTTCCACATTCAGTTTAGAAACAAACTCAGTTTCTTTGTTTTATTTTGATAAAGGAATCCATTATTTTTGGAAAGTCATTATCAAAAATTCAAATAAAATCTAGACCCATATCTAGTTCTATTCTGTTATATAGTCTGTCTCAGTCACTGTCTTAGGAAGATGTCTACGCAACAGCTTGAAACCTAAGAAGAGGACCTTATCACACGGGGGTCCCAAGCAGAAGGTATCCAAAGCTA